TATACCCCATGCATCACACGGGTACTTCGTCTAGTATATATTAATGGGATTAGTTGTTAATTAATAGGATCTTTCCCTCTCAATTCTGTTGGATCCATTTTTATGGAAAAGATATATTATGCCCTCACCAATAACAACATGCATGGGCCACTAGGATGTTTTCATTTGGGTTGAAAATTTTCTTGTATGGTCAAATCTGATCTGGTCTGGTACATGTCTTGTCTCTTTGTGTTTTATAATTATCCAAGTCTGGTCTAATCTAATATGGTATGGGACTGAAAACAGTCCAAATAAAAATATATTGCCATCATTTGACTTGTTTCCTTCAACCAGAGTTCAAACAATGGAACATAGTGCAGTAGCTTTACAATTAATATGTGGTGGCTGAAGGACTCTATGTGATCGGTGTAAAATTGTACAGTATATTACTATGTATAATATTATGCCTTCATGTTAAACAAACAAAAATTGTATTATTGATACTATAGCTGGCATGGTGTGGATCATTCTGTAAAACATTACAATGTTTATTTTTATTATAAATGACAACATATAAATGGTAAAATCTGAAAAAGGACTCACCAAAGCAAAGACTTATCTAAAACATGTTAATAGGATCTGAGAGCAATGCATGATCTGCATTTAAAAAAATGGATTAGTAAAAGAATGATGTAGTGGTTCTTTAGGCTATGAGTTTATTATATATAGGCCCTAACAGGTGAAAATTAATAAAACTCAAAAATAGATTAAAAAAACAAAGAAAAATCATAGTGGTTTACATACATGGTAGTGTTTTAGATTGATACTTTTTGCACATGTTATTTCATACCCTTCCAAAAGTCTGTACTCACCAATGCTTAAGCTTTAAAAATGAAATATATTTTCTAAGCACTAAGAACTCTAAGTAATTATGTGAAGGTTTAACATTGTCAAGTATTCAATTGACTCAATTCAAAGATAGATTTACAATAAACAACTCCATTTGAAGGTTAATTCCAGCAGTACTAAAAAATACTTCACTTCTGAATCCATTTAGGAGAAATAGTTAAAGTCATAGAAAGATTTTATTCTAACAGACACAGACATATATACATTAAGTTCATTTATGAGCTATGTGTACCAATGAAATCAAGAAAAGGGTTTTTAACCTGTATAGTGCCACATCATTCATAAATAGCTATAAACAACATTGTGATATCCTTTCCTAAAGCAAAAAATGGGTATTTGATATGCAAAAGTTTGCTGCAGGCAGAATGATAATGATTTAATGAAACATTACATACCCTAAAAAATCTTAACAAACATATTCCGATCCTATCATGATAAGAAGAGAAAAAGAGGCACAGAGTTTTACTTCTCAATTATGAAATGTGAAACATATATTTGGGCTTAGAAAAAGTGAAAAACCATAAAAGAGGCATCATCTAAGAACAAATATTGTATGTTATACCCTAAAAAATTACATATTCAAAATTGTAATGAAACATACCTTAAAAAACTTAACCAATATATTCCTGGCTTTGTAAAAGCACAGATGAGGCATTATCTATATGAATGAGAAATCTGGTATGCCCTAAAGTAAACATATCTCAGAATGACAAATCTGTTATGCCCTAAAACTTAACATATATAAAAAAAATTAAACAAATATAATCCTATCAATATAAGAAAAGAAAAATATAAGGACAGATTCACTTCTCGTTTATGAAATAGGAAACATTTGGGCTTTGCAAAACCATTGAAAAGGTATCATCTAACCTTTCCTAAAAGAAATTCTTACACACACACATATATATATATATACTCCTATCCTTATAACAAAAAGTGAGCATTCTATATTATTTCAACCTTCTTATCCATGTGCTCCAAAATACTATGCAGATTCTATATCTACTTTCATTAAGCAAAAAGTGAAATGTAAATTGTTGTTTTTGTATCATTTTCCAATTAGAAGTTCAGATTTTGAGTGATTATTAATATTCTGGAAAAATAAAAACAGACTATTTTACTATATTTATCATCCAAGAACAAAAATGGTAAGAAATAGGTCCAGATTAGGAATCGAGTGATGCGAATCCTGGGATATTCGACTATTGAAGACGAATGATTTCGGAGATAGGTGAGAAATGGATATGAAAGGTGTGATCTCTGTAGAAATCTTCTGCGCATAACACATATTTTGGTATCTGTAGAAAATTGATCTCTGCTCCCTTGATCGTGCGGCAGAAAATTGATATGAAGCTGAGCGGGAAAATGCCTCTAATAAAAGTAGTGCAATTATGTAGGATGATTATTAACGTTATCATTAATATTAATCGAATATATTTGATTAACATTCGAATCGAATATACTGGTATTTGTATTTGTATTTGATAACAATTCGAATTCAAATTTAATAATCTTATTTGTATTTGAATTTTTCGAATTCAAATCGTCTTATACGAATTCGAATCTGGATTCGAACATAAATTATTTGATTCGTATATAACCTATGCATGGATATAAAATCGGGTGGTCTTTTGACTGGACTAATAATCAAAACTAAGCTTATGATATCGGATGAAGCTCCTACAATATATGAATACTGCTTTGAAGTTATTAATATGACATTTAAGGATTTAGAGTTCCATAACCTCAATCCACGAATCCCCGATGTTTAATAGGTTATGTTCTCATATATATTTCGTAATCCAGAGAACTTGAACATTCCATTTCGAGGCAAATTTGTTGTTTTCGATGGTCATATTAAACAAATCTTCTTTGTCATATATACCTTATTAGACGTCAAGGTTTGTTCGTTATACTGAAATATTGTCATGTTCTCACCTTAATAAAAAATGTGAGGCTACAATGTGGTTATTCATATTGTAATGTTGGTGAACTTGGTACTCAAAATAGGCGCAAAAGATATTGAAAATGTCAAAGATGGAGATGCCATCATTCATATAGCGGATGTTATGCTTATTATCACTTCGGGTGATCCTATATATTACTTTGTTGTTGGGACTTTTTCCATCATTCTTGAATAATATGATAAGGATGATTCGCCATGTTTTCAACACAGGGATACTTTGACATCCATAAGTGATGTCCGCTTTGTTCACCAGAGAATAAAATTGTGTTGCATATTTTTGGATGTGTCCGAAGACATCATGGGTTTGGAAGTAAGTAGGATGGAATGTTCCCATTAATGTTGGGATGAAATTGTTGTATGTTCATTATGCTCACCTAGAGCATCTGGCGGGCCATGCTGTATGTTCATTACACTCATCTAGAGCATCACACTAGTACTATACAGGGATGGCCCCGGGCCGGTTCGGGCCCGGTTCGGGCCTAGGCCCGGCCGGGCCTCGGGTCTGTTTTGTTGGGCCCGAGCCCGAACCGGTGGCCACCGGTTCCGGGTCGGGCCGGGCCACCCGGTTAGTTTATTTTTTTTTTTCTTTTCTCCCCCCCCCCCCTCACCCCCCACTCCCCCAAACCCCCCAAACCGGTCCTAAACATCAAGCCCAACTCAATAAAGCCAAAAAAAATGAAAAAATAAAAAAAAAAAAAATAAAAAAAAAAGTTTTTTGGCCCGGACCGGGCCCGACCCGGCCGGGCCGGTTCGCCAAATACAGGGCCCGAGCCCGGACCCGCCCCCCCCCCCCACCGGGCCTAGGCCCGACCCGGACCCGGACCCGGACCCGAGAACCGGGCCGGTTCCGGGCCCGCACTGTGGCGGGCCGGGCCGGTCCCGGGCTGGGCGGCCCGAACCGGGTCCAAGTCTAGTACTATATAAGTATATGACAAAACATAGACTAAGATAAAAAAAAAAATAAGACCAAATATGTTTTATTCCACAAGAAGGATTTATTTAGTCATACAACGCTATAAGTCTATAACCATAACTGATTTATTTAGTCATACAACGCTATAACCATAACTCTTATTTTGATAATATAATAACATAAGAGTAGATTTATTTATGAATTTAGTAATTGCTCTATATAGAACTAAAAGATAGGAGAAATGCAAAAATAGGACTTGATATGTTTTCTTCCATTAATAGGACCAAGTTACTCCTATTATTGAACATACGAAAATTGCCATCCCAAATTTGCCCCTGCACCCATTTACTCGTTCTCTCTCCCTTCTCTCGATCTATTAGATCGGCGATTGCTTCACCAGACCCCAAAGCAGAATAACCACATGACCGCATCTCATCTTCTCGGTGTAGATATGCTGCGCTGCCTACTCCACCGCGCGATTGCTTCCACCGCACCGCCTCTGGCTTCATCGCCTCCTCCACCTCCGATCCACTTCGCCGCCTTCTCCGTCCACCATCACTGACTTTCTTTTCCTTCAGATTTCAGGTTTTTCCCCTGCTTTTCTTCTTGCTTTTCTTCTTCTTCTCCTGCGTCTCCTCATCTTCCTCCTTCTTCTTCCTTCCTCTTCTTCTTGTTTTTAATTTCTGATTTTCCTCTGTTATTTTTAATTGATTTTTCTAATTTTCGGACTTCTATTTCAATTTTATGGTTTCTGATACATGAGTTTAAAAAAAAGAACGATTTCTAGAAATTTTGGATGATTGCTTCGGATTTGGCCAAATTTATGGCATAAATGTGTACATTGACAACCATATTATGGCAGAAATGCTTTTGTATAAATGTGTAGATTAGTTTTCTAGCTTTGTTTTTCTAATTTTTGACTCTGTTAAAATGCTTATTCCATTAGAAAAATTAATTGTTTGAATATTTGGTTATTTATTTCATGTTTTCCATTTTTTGCCAAATTTGTGACAGTTTTATGTTAAATTTGTGGCATTTTTTTGCCAAATTTGTGGCAGTTTTCCATATTCCATTTCTTCCAAGATGAATCTGCCAACTCTTTGGCAAATCTGAAACCCTTGTTTATGGCATATGTGAATCTAATCTCCACCAATAATCTGCCAACTTGGTGGCGGATTTATTCCGCCTGAGTTATCATGGTGGTGACGATGCTCAGAGGATGGCGGCGGCAGTGGATGACAGCGGCGGTGGATGGCGGCGGTGGTGGATGGCGACTCCGCTCAGATAGTGATGGCCGATGTTTTTGCCCTCTCTCATTGCACGATGTTTTCCGTTTTTTTTTTCGAAACCTCTCGTCGGCTTTAGAAGCAATTAATTATACTTGAAGGATAAAATTGGAAAAGCAAACCCTTTTTAGTCCTACGAAACATCACTCACGTTTCTAGTCCTATTTATGCACATGAAACTAATTTTAGTCTTATATAGGTCATTAACTCTTATGAATTTTATCCTTTGTAGAGATCTTCTCAAAGTTTAAAATTGAAAAGAAAGTAAAATGGGCCAGACTACGCACAAAAGTGGTTGATTAGAAGTTACCACCACCTCGTAAATATGTAGCCCATTATAAAAGCCGAATTGTACAATTTAAAGCCCAAAACTGAAAATTTTTCTTGTTTACGTGGATCGCCTCGATTCACAAACGAAGCGTGGAATGCGGTCACGTTCCAGTCCTAGAGCTTCTTCCGTATCAGCGTCCTGGACTGTGTTGAGGGCTTAACTTCTCATTTCCCGAGCTTCGCATCCCAGATCCGCCGACTTCATTTCCGGTGCCTCTCTCTCCTATGGTACGAATCACCTTCTCAGCTCCTTGTTTCAACCAATTTTTGTTTTTCTTTTTAGATTGAATAAAAATCTACCTAGGATCGAAGTCAAAATATTCGAGCTGTTTGGTTCTTTCCGTATTTGTACTTTTGTTTGATTTCGTATTTTGTGATAGGAGTAACATTGATGTGTATTTTTCTTTCTAAAATGCAAGTAGATTGGATCATAGTTGCCAGAATTGATTACTAGGGCCATAAAAACGCCCATTTGAAAACTTTGATTAAGATGTCTGTTACTTGAGTCTCACTGAGACGCCAGATGAGCTAAGGAGAGTCTAATTTCGATTTGCAGATACCCCAGATGCAATTTTTCATTTTATGATTTCACAGTCTACGTTAATTCCTGAAAGAAAAAGATAAACCTTTTCTAGCTAATAAAAAGCAGCTTATTTTCTTAAATCATCATTTTTTTTTAAGTTGAAGAGTTTTGCCGTTTAGTGATAAATAAATTTTTTTGTGGGTCTGTCAAGGACGTGCCTGCCATATCCTAACCACGCTCATAACTAAAATTAAGACAGCGACTAATGGTTCTCATGTTTATTGACATTAGCAATCTTCACACTAGATATTTGTGTACGAAGGCCCTTTTTCCCCTCAATTTACAACCATAGCTGAAGAATATGTTTTGTGTTTAGTGTTTACTTTGTATTTGTGCTGGTTGCTTTATGCAGTTGTGCTCACAATTAGATAACGCAGCTAATGTTTTTATGGCCTGTTTCCTTGCAGGCACCTCTAAAGTGCCTTCTTTCACTCCAAAGGACTACTTTAGCTCGGTGTTGCAGTCAGAAGTGGGGCCTACACGTTAGATTATCTAGCACCCAAGCTGCATCAACTGCTAATACACCACAGCCCCCACCTCCTCCCCCGCCACCCGAAAAGACTCATTTTGGTGGCCTGAAAGATGAGAATCGCATATTTACAAACCTTTACGGATTGCATGATCCTTTTCTTAAGGGTGCCATGAAACGAGGTGATTGGTACAGAACAAAGGACCTCGTATTGAAAGGCTCTGACTGGATTGTCAATGAGATGAAAAAATCAGGACTCCGAGGAAGAGGTGGTGCAGGTTTCCCATCTGGTCTGAAATGGTCCTTCATGCCAAAGACTTCTGATGGACGTCCTTCGTATCTTGTGGTCAATGCTGATGAGAGTGAACCTGGTACTTGTAAAGATAGAGAAATAATGCGGCATGATCCACACAAATTGTTGGAAGGCTGTTTGATTGCAGGAACGGGAATGAGAGCTAGTGCTGCTTATATTTACATAAGAGGTGAGTATGTGAATGAAAGAAAGAACCTCGAGAGGGCTAGGGAAGAGGCTTATAAGGCTGGGCTTTTAGGGAAAAATGCTTGTGGATCTGGTTATGATTTTGACGTCCATATTCATTTCGGCGCCGGTGCTTATATATGTGGTGAAGAGACGGCTCTTATAGAGAGCCTTGAGGGGAAACAAGGCAAACCTAGGCTGAAGCCTCCTTTTCCGGCGAATGCAGGTCTCTATGGCTGCCCAACTACAGTTACAAATGTGGAGACGGTAGCTGTTTCACCAACCATCTTAAGGCGCGGACCGGAGTGGTTTGCTAGCTTCGGGAGGAAAAATAATTCTGGGACAAAGTTATTTTGCATCTCAGGTCATGTGAACAAGCCCTGCACGGTTGAAGAGGAAATGAGTATTCCATTGAAGGAACTAATTGAGAGGCACTGTGGTGGTGTTCGTGGTGGATGGGACAATTTACTTGCTATCATACCAGGAGGTTCATCAGTCCCATTAATCCCAAAGAACATATGTGAGGATGTTCTTATGGACTTTGATGCGCTCAAGGCTGTTCAGTCGGGTCTGGGCACTGCTGCTGTGATTGTGATGGATAAGTCAACTGATATTGTGGATGCTATTGCGAGGCTATCCTACTTCTATAAGCATGAGAGTTGTGGCCAATGTACTCCTTGCAGAGAAGGCACACCATGGCTTTGGATGCTCATGGAAAGAATGAAGGTTGGAAATGCAAAGCTGGAGGAGATTGACATGCTTCATGAGGTGACCAAGCAAATCGAAGGACATACAATTTGTGCATTAGGCGATGCTGCTGCCTGGCCAGTTCAAGGCCTTATCAGGCACTTCAGACCAGAGCTCGAAAGGAGGATCAGGGAGCGGGCAGATAGGGAGCTACTGCTGGCTGCTGCATCGTAACTAACTGTTTCGTTAAGGTTGGTTCTTATATATTTCCATTCACCATTGATTTCCACCCAGCTACCGTAATATTTAATTCTCTTGCCAATGTTCCATTAGCTTTAAACATAAAATATAATAATATAGAACAACACGTTTGGCAACAAAACAGTGGTCACATATATAAAATTAAAACTGTTTGAGAGTAAAAGTGTGCAATTGTTACTTTATTGACCATTGAGGGACTAAAAGTGGTCGCATATATATAATTAAAGCAATGGTCATACCTTTCGCAACAACAATTGAGCCACTAAAACTGCATCTTCTCTTGATCATAATCAGGCTTCAGGTTTTCTGTGCGAGTTTGTGTTTAATTTATAGTACATTACAAATAAAAACACATAAATGTTTAAAAAGTAATAAACATAAATGTTTGCAATATAAAAACAATGTACTGTGTTTTAGCATTTGCAAGCATCTTGATTCGTAAAAAAAAATGAAGTGATACACCAAGTGTTATAGAGGACCACGAGCCTTTTGGTCTTGGCCTTGACCTTGACCCGTTTTAATTCTTAGCAAGTACTTGGTGGATAACTTGCTCATTAAGGGGTCTCTATCAGGCCGCTCTATAAACCAAATTGTGATTACAGAGCTTAATGTAATGCTCCTAATATCATGCTGTTTTTTTTGTCTGATGTCTACAACCCAGGGGATACACATTTGTCTGCTCCGAACTACATAATAAGATTTGTGACAGCCCGAGGTTGGAGCTAGTGCTGTCTACCTGACGGGAAGTGTATTTTGTTGTTGTGGAAGCTGTGTATAGACACTGACCTCATCAGTGAAACTATGGATTTAATTCCATTCTGATTTTACGGCGGTGTGGATTATGTCTCTTGTAATACCCCCAAGATGTTGGAGCACAATTTGGCGCGTTTTAAGGGTTTTTCATTTATAAATAAAGAACCTGCCTTCTGTCTACTCTACTCGTAGTTTATAACAGTTCAACTCCAAAATATTTCAACAGTTTTTCTTTCTGATTTGTTGTTTCTATCGTCTTTAGTCAGTGTTTGAATTCACTTCATCAATGCTAATATATGGGCATTTTCAGAAATGCTCACTGACTTAATATATCACCAGATATTCTCAGAATCGTATCAAGGATTCAAACTTAATATATCGGGAGGTGGCAGGTATCTGATTTTTCTGCAGGTTCTCACATGGTATATCCAAATTGGAGGAGTCTCCTACAAATGCAGTTATTATATGTTTATATTCAAACGAGGATTACATCATTACATACCATAAATGAGCAACAAAAGCATCATTAAGTCGTATTTCTAGTGAACTCCATTAAGTCATAAACAGGCATGGAGCTGGGTTGTGCCTGGTCGGGCCTTTTGTGGTTGGGGGAAGGCCCGGGACCGGCCTGGGTTGCCAGCGGGTCCGGGCCGGGCCGCTGGCCAGTTTGTATTTTTTTTTGGCTTTTTCTAATTAACCCCCGAGGCCCCGACCCCCTCCTCTCACCACCCAAACCAGCCCAAATGGCCCAAAATACCCAGCCCAACCCGGAAAGTTAAAAAAAATTAAAAATAAAAAAATAAAGCCCGAACCGGGCCCGGAACTGGCCGGGCCGGTTCCATATATTCCAGACCCGTACCCGCCCCGGTTCTCCCCCCTTAACCGGGCCTAGAACCGGAACCGGTTCCCGGGCCGGGCCCACATAGTACCGGGCCGGGTGGCCCGAACTAGGTCCAAGCTTAGTCATAAATAAACAACCTCTACTGAAAACCCCATGCCATGTTGGTCCATAATAGTGCAAATTATGAAAACCCATAAATTAAAACACAAATTTTGTTGTTAAATTTCTTTCATTTTCATAATATAACCCACAACAAATATTAAAAAAAAAATATTTAGAACTTAAGTTATCGCGTGCATCATATAGGTAAAAAGCACGATGAAAAGAAAAATTTTCATATACAAAACAAGTACTCCCTCCGGCCCTAAAAGAACTTTAGTGTTTGACTTTATGATTTTTAAGAAATTGGAATTTTTTCTTTTGACTTTCCCATTATGCCCCCAAAGAGATTTACCTTTATCAAATCAAAGTAAAAATACTTCCAATATACATTGATAAAACAAATAGTGACCGTGACACAAGAGGAGGAGAGAGGAGATGTTTCACACACAACAAGGAGGGAAGATTTCACCTTTGGCTTCCCTCCAAAATTCAACTTTAAGTCTTACACATCTTTTTTAGCTATAAATGGAAGAGCATTGATTACACATCTTCATCTACTTTCTTCCTTCTACAACTCTTCATTTATGGAGTCCCCTGCCATATATGCAAAAGATTTGCCAGATTCCCTTACATCAGAGAAACAATCGGAGAGAACTTGCATATGAAATGGAAGTCTCAAGAACCATGCAAAGGTGCTTTAAGAGTAAACGAATAAGAATACATTCAAGCGCAATCAAATCACTTCTAACAAAAGAGGCAAATTGAAAAGGTTACACTTTTGCTTAAGTCAAATAAGTCCTCAGTCATTACACAGAGCACCAACATTTCATGATTTCTATGATTGTGTTCACATAGATGGAAAGTGTTTTTATTTATCAAAAGAATCTAATAGTTTTTACCCCCTTTAACATAAAATGATCCATACAGAACAATTCAATCAAAGAAATTTATTCTTAAAATCATGTTTCTAGCTGCAGTTGGGAGGCCCGGGATTGCTGACAGTGGGGAGGTGGAGTGAGATGGGAAAATATGGATATTTCCATTCACATATGAAGACAAAGCCAAGAGATCTAGCAAGAATAGGGCTGTTGGTACTTTAGAAGCCAAACCAACATTAAGTGTCATTAGGCGAGTAACGAAAGAAATGATACTTAACACCCTACTACGAGTAATCAAAGCCAAGTGACCACAGTCAAAAAATACAAATGGCATCATACAACAAGATGACATGCCTCACATTCAAATACATGATGTGAAGTTTGTTAAATTGGGATCAGGGGATGAATGGAATATCCAACTAGAGATCATTCGTCGCCCCCTGATAGAAATAGAAGAAAAGGAAGAAGGTGTAGGGAGAGGCAGGGGCGAGGATGAGGGTGGCGGAGACGATCCATCTCTTCTATCCACAGAGGGAGACGACAACAACAATGGTCAAGGTAGCGGAGATGGCCCTGCAAGCGTCGATCCGTCTGTGTTTGAGCGCAACAATAAATGAGCGGAAGAAGTGATTGGGTTTTAATGGTTGGGTCACTTTTTTGCCATGTCTTAATTTAGTCATATTTGTGTCTAATGAAAGTTGGAAAGTAATATTGAGGCCATTATTTCTATTTTATCCGAAAAATCAACAAAAGAACCAAGAAAATTGAACTGAATTGCCTTTGATTGGAACTCCACAGTTGGATCGCGAGTTATTGGGAATGTAATAAGGAAAATTCTTAGTGTAGATGAGTTGTAGAATACTGTCGTACTGCCATCATCCCAAATTAGTGGTGTTTGGAATTGTTGAATAAGTATATAGTACTACGTATAAAATAAGTAATATTATCTCCATCTCAAAATAAAGGTTAAGTTTCATTTGTTATCAAACTATCCTACATACCATTTGGCATGATACTTTATCATTACTTAAATCTTAAACTTATCATTACTATTTCACTTACTTTTTCATCATTACTATAGTAAAAGCCGCAAAGGATACTTTAGGTATTTTAGGCCATTTTCTTATTCTATTTGCGCAAAACTGGAAACTTGGATGAAGCCATGAAGGTGTCGTCTTGATCAATTTAAAATGGTATTTTTTACGACATACTAGTAAATGGTAACATAAAATGGTAACAAGAAGGCATTTTTTAAAATGGGATTCGATAAGATAATAAACAGTAAACAATTCTTACAACACGGTAAGAAAATGAAGTAATTATACTTTTGGTCCTACAAATTTAGTGTCAATTTCACCTTTAGTCCACGTCTTTCACTTTGTCTACTTTTAACACTTGACTAATGTTTTTTAATCGTTTGTGGTCCTTTTCCGGCGATTTTAACAATCAAAAATAATGCCGGAAGGATCATATAAGGGTGAAAACACAATAGTCATGTATCAAAAGTAGACAAAGTGAAAGAAGTGGACTAAATGTGGAATTGAACTAAAACTCGTATGATCTAAAATGAAATTTATTCGTAAGAAAATAGTATTAAAAAATGATACTCCCACTGTTCCACAAAAACTTTCAACTTTCCTTTTCGGACGTCACAAAATAAACTTTATTTTTTTTTAAATTTATGATTCACAACAATTTTTATATAGTCTTATACATTTCTCTCTTCTACACAACTTTTCGCTACACAATTCACATTATCTAAATTTCAGTGTCATTTGTAGTATGGAAGAAAAATTTGAGATGGAGCGAGTATTTTCTTACGACATACTAGTAAATGGTAACAAGAAGGCATTTTCTTACAACATAAATTGATACTACCTCTGTCCCGTTAGAAGGTTTCATAGCAAAGCGGCACGATTATTTAGACAATCATTAAATAAAGTACTTTGAGTATATTTTGAGAAATCATTTTAATAGATACTCCCTCCGTCCCTCAAAACTTTGTCAACTTTCCTTTTTGGATGTTCCACTAACTTTGCCACTTTCCCCTTTAAGTAAATAATTTGTGGTTCCAGTTAATTCTTTCTCCTCTGCTCAAACCTCAATCACACAGTTTTTACTTTATTAATCCCCGTGCCGGTCAAACTTGACAAAGTTTTAAGGGACGGAGGGAGTATATATTATAATGTAGTTAATATTGATAACTGTGATGTTATAAATGTACTACCTCCGTCCCAGGGACAAGTTCCCACTTTCCTTTTTTGGCAGTCCCAACAAAAAGTTCTCATTTCCCTAAATGGAAAGTTATCCTACATCAAAACAGTGCAAAACAGTGTCGAAACAGTGTCAAACAGTGTCGAAACAGTGTCGAGACAGTGACAAACAGTAAAATTTACCCCTCAGTAACTTTATTTCCTTAATATGTGTGAAAGTCAACCCGGGAACTTCTCCCTAGGACGGAGGGAGTATTATTTTTAATATTTAATGATTAATTTGTCATCTAAGATTGTTAATTCTTTCCTAAAATGGAAATGAGAAATTTGTAACGGGGCATCTAAAAGAGAAAAGCGAGAACCTTGTAATGGAACGGAGAGAACAGAGTGCCATCTTTTTTTTAATGGAGTTGGATAAGATAGTAAACTGTAAACTTGCATATTGGGGGAGTATTTGGGTAGTACGGCTCTGTCTTATTCCTGACCAATTTATTTAGACTCAAACACGGAAAGCACCTGCTTCATGCCTTCATCAACACCTGTGCAAAGCTGAAACATACACAAAAACTGAAAAAGTACCATAAAATTATTACTACCTCCGTCCCATAAATAACTCCTCTTTTGAATTGGCACACATATTAAGAAAGTGGGAAATGTGTGGTGGAGAGTTGTGCAGAGGAGAGAGAAATGTGTAAGAATGATTGTGAACCACAAATCCTTTGCTAAAAAGGGAAAGAGGAGATAAATTTGGGACGGACCAAAAAGGAAAGAATGAAGATAATTATGGGACGGAGGGAGTATTCTTTAAAGTCGGGAAATTGCTAATGCTCTTGCCTTTCTCATTCGCTATCATTCGCTCCTGTTCCTGACACTTATGTAAGTTCTTCCGCCATTACACCAACCCGGTGGTTCAATGAAAGATTCATCTAAAAATTGCAGTATATTTTTGTTTTCTAGTTAAAAAAAAATCTACCCAGCATTAAAATCAAAACAATCGAGCTGTTTGGTTCTTTCCCTATTTGTACTTTTGTTTGATTTCTTATTTTGTAATGGGAGTAACTTTGATGCTTATTTTTCTTTCTAAAAAGCAAGTAGATCACTAGATTGGATCATAGTTGCCAGAACTGATTACTGGGACCATAAAACGCCCATTTGAAAACTTTGGTAAAGGTGTCTGTTACTTGATTCTCACTGAGATGCCAGATGAGCTAAGGCGAGTTGATTTCGATTTTTAAATACCCCAGATGCAATTTTATATTTTCTCTGTTTTCACAATCTACGTTTATTCCTGAAAGAAAACGGTAAAATATTTATAGCAAATCGATAGCAGTTTCTTTTTAAAAAATGCATTCTTTTTCTTTATTTTCTTAAATCATCGATTGTTTAAGTTCAAGAATTTTGCCATTTAGTGATAAATTTTCTTGACTTTAAAGTGGGTGGAAGTTTTTCTTTCTTATCAATAGGTGGTTGTTTGACTATCACTCTTACCTACCGCCATTGGAGACTGGAGTTAATCTTAAGCAATGGTTCTTGGATTGAGGTCAAAGAACAGCAGAAAGGGGGGTTCTGTTCAGGTTGACTTTATCATATATGTAGAGGATCTTAAGCCATGGCCTCCATCACAGTCCCTTAAATCTGTCCAGTCTGTGTTGTTTGTCTGGGAAAATGGTGAGGAGAGCTCGGGATCCTTCGTGTCCGATGTTGGAGATACCAGCATTGAATTCAACAAATCAATCACTCTCCAAGTGACTTTGTGCCGAGACAAAAAGGCTCCAGATAAATTCCAGAAGAATATATTGGATTTTTACTTTTATGAGCCTCGGAAGGATAAGGCAAGTAGAGGCCAACTCCTGGGGACTTGTGTGATTAACCTTGCTGATTTTGGGGCTACTGAGAAGGCTATCAGCATTTGCACTCCAGTGAACTGCAAAAAGAGTTCGAAAAGCTCGGAACAGCCATCCCTGTTTATTACAATTAATTCGTATTACAGTGGAAGCACAAATTCATCCCCAAAACCAAGCTTCTCAAAAGAAAAACACAATGACTATGACGGACAAACATCTGTTGCAGATGCATTGAACGAAGAAAATGATGATGAATGTGAGATTGCCGATTTCACTGACGATGATGATGTGTCATCGCGCTCATCACAAAATGCCTCATTTTCTACCTTTAAAAGTTCAAGTGGTCCACCTTCTCGACCCTCAATGGTACTCCTTCTGTCTTGAATTTATGAAAGAAATGCATGGTTTTTTCCCTTTTGGGCTGTCCCAAACCAATACTGTTGTTTTCTTTTTAGGAAAGAAACATATGGTTGTTTTGCACTCATTTTAACTCATATCTCAACTTCACACTTTCATTTTCAACCGCACTTTTAATAAGCATTGAAGTCAATATGGGAAGATAATTTCAGGACGGAGGAAGCATTTTTCTAATTAGTAAAGCTTTACCCATCTATTGTAAATGTAACACTAATTTGTTGATTATTGAGATGCACTAAAACTGAGAACTTTTCACTCGAGAAATACTGACCTTTCTCATGCTAGTATTAGACATGAGAAACACTGGATTTTCAATCACTCTTCCTGTTTCTGCTTTAAAATGCAGTTCAGCTAAAATGACAAAAATCATGTTGGACATTTTTGTAATAAACTATGGTGCAAATGTGTGATCTACATTTCTCGTTTATGTCAAGGTATAATATGGCTTATTGTAAATCTTTCTTGGATCATGCTTGGGTGGGGGTTGCATAGCCAATTGTTTGTCAAACCTGGCAAAATGCCAAGAACTCTTGGTTCCACATGACCACATTTTATAAATTTTATGAGGTGTATGGGATGACACTCTAACAATTGTATGACTGAGTATTACTTGAGCTATTTTAAATGTGGGTCTTGGTAAACTTGAGTGGTGTATGAATACGCCCAACCGACGTTAGACGGACTACACTAAATTATTAATACCAAGTTAACAATCAACTCACAATCGGACCAGACTCATATCCATATTAAATTGGTGCATAACTCACCCTCAATAGATCACCTCATACTTGACACATACCTCACGAACATCTGGTGTTCAGTACTTAACAAGTGGTCTTTATGATGCAGAACAGAGTTGATACAACAATTTCAGGTCTGGCTACTGCAGCTCCATTTGCTAATATTTTTCGTGAAGATTTAAGAAGTTCAGATAGAAGCATTACTTCGATGTCCTCAGAAAGATCATCCTTGAATGCTGAAAAAAACACTAGAAATGATAATAGTTCTTACACCAAATTTTATGAGAGAAGCATGACATCTGTCCCAAAAAAGAATGCTCACCCTGTCGCCGAATCTTCTTCTTCATTCACAAGTTCCCTAGGTCCAAATGGGAAGCCAACAAGCACCAAAAGATGGTCTGATCAGCTACAACCTGAACAAGATGCTGAGCTCTTGGTGGATGAAGTTCAGCATTTCTCAGAAATGAAATTGGCTACTAACCCTTCACCAGATGCATGGAGAAAAAGTAACCGGAGGAGTGAGACTCTAAATTCAAACAAGAAAGAAGATGCAGTTCAGGGATCTAACAGTGCAGATGGAAAACTGAAGCACTCCAAGTCTCTTCAGCCGAACAACTTGGCTAACAGAAATACATTTCTTGGCGGGAGCCATAATAATACAGAAAAGACAGTATCGCATAAGTCATCACATGGGCTTCCTGATCGTAAGAATGATTGGAAGCACAAAGTTGAGATGCTTGAGGAAGAACTTAGGGAAACTGCAGTTCTTGAGGTCAGCCTTTACTCTGTTGTTGCTGACCACACAAATTCTTCAAACAAGATCCATGCTCCAGCTCGTCGCCTCTCTAGGTTTTATCTTCAAGCTTGCAAGATGAAGTCTCGAGATAAACAGGCAAGTGCTGCAAGAGCTGCCATTGCAGGTTTAGTTTTGGTTTCTAAAGCATGTGGGAATGATGTCTCCAGGTACATTGTTCTTCTTCTTTTTTGCATAAAAAAAGCATGTGCATTTTTATTAAATTAGGCATGACTACCCCAAAAGGTTGTTGTAGGGCTTACCTCATTAGTCAGTCACATATCTTGTGAACATGTGACGTGAAATGCTTAACATACCCTTCGGTTCAATCCGAATTGGAAAACTAGAGGGATAAATAATTGGCCAAACCGACCCTAAATGGGCTACCTTAAATTATGGGGTCTCAAACTCACATAAAACCACAGTCGAACTAGATTTTTATACCCTATTATATTAGGCCTAACTTACCTCAAAGGATTCTCAAGTTGTAACTTGTTAGTTTATATTAGTGGTAAACTTCCGATGTGAGTCACGTAACGGTTTTTGTCTGTTAAGTTATGATTTGAAAAATTAAAGCTATGAATGTATTGATTCACTAACAGGTTAACTTTTTGGTTATCCAACTCAATCGTGCTGAGAGCAATTGTTAGTCAGGGTACTGTAGACATGTCACATAACAGCACAAGTAAATCTGGTACAACTGGAAGGTCTCATAAGCAAAGAAACGATAACTTTTTCACAAAAGAATCGAAGAAAAGCCTAAAAGAAGAAGATACTGACTGGGAAGATGTGACCACTTTTGTGTTTGCACTTGAACAACTTGAAGCTTGGATCTTCGCTCGAATAATTGAGTCTATGTGGTGGCAGGTTGAGTTTTAGCACTTCAGTTTTGTATTTCCTTTGTTTTCCCCTTGTAACTTAGCTATTTAGTGTTTGTTATGCAACAATCAGTTTTCTATGTGTTTTTATTTGTTTTTCCACTTCACAGACTTTGACTCCATATATGCAAAGCAGTGTCCCTACAACCAGTGATAAACCTATGATCTCTAATTCTAAGAAGGGAAGAAAACCAGGCTTAGGAGAACAGGAGCAAAATAACTTCTCAATAGAGCTATGGAAGAAGGCTTTTAAGGATGCTTGTGAAAGGCTGTGCCCAGTTCGGGCAGGAGGAAATGAGTGCGGCTGTTTGCCAGTGCTGGCAAAACTGGTAAACTGATACTACAAATATATGCAAAATTAAAACCTAGTTAATCAAAGTTTATATATTGTTTGAGCATCTTGTGATTTCCCTTCCTTCCTGAAATGCACCTCTGAATTCATGTTGTTTTTGTATGCACACCGTGATTACTCCAACCAATTGTGTGCAATTTCTTATGCCATATCTTACTGCATACAGTTATTTTGTCTGACTAGATTTTCCTGATATGCATACCATGATATGTTGAGAACAAGCTTTTTGCACAAAATTAATTTGGTTCAGTATTCAATTGTAATTTTATCCTTTTTAATGTTTTATCTTATTTTTTAATTCTTTTTATCTTTATCTTATCTTTTTTATGTTTTTTTTATATCTTATCTTAGCTTTTTATTTTTCTTATCTTTTTAGCTCCGGTTTCATGTGTCGATTCATGTTAGCCGACCCCAAACTCTTTTGGGACTAAGGCTTGGATGTCGTTGTTGTATTCAATCGTAATGTTGTCTGCTGTACTGTACATAGTTATAGAGGAAGCATAGATATCTTTTGTGGAATAGGTTGTTTCCTTATACTCCTTACCGTTAGGATCCTCTTTGTATATGCTGATTTCCATCCCTCGTCAGGATTTAACCAACATATCATCCACCAATCCACCATACTAAAGTATGAGCCTCATCACAAACCTAAGCAATAAGGTGTGTTAGAATCCCATGTGGAAAAATTGAAAGAGAGGATGATGGGGTCCAATTCTACCATAGATTGAAATTCAGAAAGATGTTTTTGGCATATAATGGTGTGTTAATAAGACCTTGGATGAGAAAGGTGGGGCTCAACCGCTCAATATATTAGCGTGATTTATCCCAAGTGCCTTATAGCCCCAACTAGATGGGTGAGAAAGTCCATGATATGGATGCTTTTTCAGCATATAATGATGTGTTGAGAAGACAGTTAGCTGAACTAGCTAACAGATTAAAGTTAACCTTTAGTGTGGTTTGTCCCAAGAGTCTTATGACCCAGTTGAGTGACTTAACTTAATAAGTGAGGAACTCCATTTCATGGGATAGGAGTCTTCACATTATTTATATTAGAATCGTTATTACTAAAAGCTTCATATTGGTAAATTGGGATTGGTATTTTATCTTAATTAATGTTCCTAATCGCAATATTATCACAGATTGAACTCTATTTACTTTTTCACCGATAGTAGTATAAATAGGGATCAACTCTTTAGGGATCAACTATTTACTCTTTAGGGTAAACCGTTGCCCAGAGCCAAAAGGCTAAAACCAATTTTATTCCCAAATGAGCCAGAATGAATCCTAACGAGGGGTTTGAATACCCATCTACTAATTCTCAAACTAGGAAACAGAATCCTAGAAATCCTAATCAACTCCAACTAGGAAACAGAATAATAAAGATCCTAATCAACTTCAAATAGGAAAGAAATAATAGAAATCCTAATTAACTCCTAATAGGAAACAAATATTATAAATCCTAATTAACTCCAAAAGGAAACAAATCAGGAAAAATAAAAAGAATAACTATTAATTAAACAACCCGCAAAAAAAACTTGTCCTCAAGGTTGAAATCCGGAAACCGGCTGACATTTGTTCCCGGGGGCTGCCCAGTATCTTTAGGAAAAATTGAGATGTACTCTTCCACAGTCCGTGACTCCGTGTCTGCTTGCCTCCGACAGTTGTTCAAAGTGATTGCCCTAAAACCGTGAGTCATAACAAGTCATCGCATAATGTAAGCTCATACCTTGACATGCCCGGCTTTCGTGTCCGTATCCAGGTCAACCGGTATAGGGCTTACCCTTCCATCGCAACTACAGTGGCTGTCGCCTTCTTTCCCGACAGAGTACAATTCAATTCGAACCGTTTCTCAGCCTTATCAACCAAGCTGATCGGTTCTTCTTTGTTAAATGAGGGCAACGTCGTGAGAAAGGAGCTGCATAGTCCAATTCTGAATGAGGATGCTGCTGCCGCGTCGAGTGAAGTCACCGCCGTTGAATGCTCCTCCGCCGCTGGCTATGCGAGAGTCTTTTTTAGCGCAACCAATGAGGAAGTGACGTTGTGCGGCTACCCGTTGCTGCTGTGCGCAGATACGGTGGGGCTGCCAACCGTGTCCGAGCTTGTTTCCGTTGTGACTAGCGGAACGAGCACCTTGGTAAGCGCTGCTAGGGATGCAGCGATCTCTGCCAGACGCATGTCGTGCTCCTCTAGGGTTTGATTCATCCGAGTTTGCTTGGCCACCATCTCTGACAAACGTTTACTGATACATCTCGTCATTCCGGCGGGACAGGATCCGGCAGGTCGGACCAATTGTTGTGAACAAAAAAATAAAATCAACGATAAAAATATCGTTGCCCAGAGCCAAAAGGCTAAAACCAATTTTATTCCCAGATGAGCCAGAATGAATCCTAACGAGGGGTTTGAATACCCTTCTACTAATTCTCAAACTAGGAACCAAAATTCCTAGAAATCCTAATCAACTCCAACTTGGAAACAAAATAATAGAGATCCTAATCAACTTCAAATAGGAAAGAAATAATAGAAATCCTAGTCAACTCCTAATAGGAAACAAATATTAGAAATCCTAATTAACTCCAAAAGGAAACAAATCAGGAAAAATAAAAAGAATAAATATTAATTAAACAGCCCGCAACCAGCCCACGAAGGTGGGCTCAAGCCCGTCCCACCTTCGGTAAACCCACGGGGGCTTCTGGCCCTCTTCTTCCAAGCCCAGATTCTGCTTCATATCATTAACAAAGTCGAGTCTCTATAGGGTTTTTGTAAATGGTGGACTCCTCATAGGGTTGACCGTCAAGGAGGAGTCTTTCATATCCTAACAACTCTCATAACAGTCCGCGGTGTATAACAATTATGTTCTACTGAGTATATACAAACAAACATTCCCTACGCTGCTTACACTTTGAATGTTGGTTTGGCAACTGTGCATTCGAGTTCAGTGAAAGACAACCTGTCACGCTTCTTTTCTACTTGTAGATAATGGAACAATTGGTGAGTAGACTGGATGTGGCAATGTTCAATGCAATCCTACGTGAATCAGATGATGAAATGCCAACAGATCCTGTGTCTGATCCTATTAGTGATGCTAAGGTCCTTCCAATCCCTGCAGGGAAATCAAGCTTTGGTGCTGGTGCACAACTTAAGAATGCGGTGAGTCGTAAAGCTTCTTTGGGTATGCTATTAATTTTTGTTTGCAAAACTGGTAGTCTTGCCCTTTCTGATAGCTATTTCTATCTTGTTGTGGTATATGAATATATGATAATATAAGTTGAAGTGAACTATACTTGCTGATTTGTTTTGTATGAAATGACAACTTTTCTTGGAGTGTGTTTTTCTGCAGCATTTCCTTATTTGTTGCCAAATACTAGACCTATGCAAATACGTGCTCAGGCCGGGCTTTTTCAAAAGTACATGTCCATTGGTGTGGGTGGGCCCGTTCTGCAACAAGCGGGCTACCTCACACGTCCTTACCCACCCGTAAGAGCGGATCGAGCCATCCACTGGGTAGCCTCACAATTTAGAATACTTTTAAAATAAGACTACAAAATTTTAAAATTGGTGAATGTGTTATAATGTTAATATGTCTCATCACATACAAAAAAACATTTACCCAAAAATAATCATAAAAAACTATAACTAAAGCTAATATTCAAGCACAAAGTATTATCTTTAAGTGTAAGTAAAAATACTATACAGAGTATTGGGTTGGGCTAGTAGTTAAAAACAAAAAAACTAATAATTAAACATGGTACCATAAATATGATATGTATAATTATAGTGAGCCACATATTACATATATGTGTGTGTGTGTGTATAAATAATAAATATATTTATTTATTTAAAGAAAATCAAAATGGGATGTTTTTATTCAATTTGATATATAATATATATACACACACACACACACACACTATCGTATGTATTAAATGTACTGGGCCATGCATATCGGCCCGAACGGGCCTACACTTATCCATGCCTGCCCATATATTGTTAGAGATCCGGCCCGGTGGGTAAACATATATTCCCAAGCCCGCCCGTTTATAAGAGCGGGCTGGGCTGGTGGGCCCTTTTTTGTACAGGTCCACCAAATATCATAAGATTGTTTGTATGGGATGCAACTCTTGCTCACATAAAAAAACTTTCCATCAAAAGTTGATGGGTCATTTTTGTATGACACGGGTGTCGGTGGGTCATCAATTGAGTGGTTTTCTTTGAGGATCTAATAGAATTATCCTTGCTGGCAGGTCGGGAATTGGTCTAGATGGCTTTCTAATCTATTTGGAATTGAAGAAAATGATCCTCCTCCCAGGAGCAACAATAATCTTTTGGATGGCAAGCAACTAGGGCTCTCCAAGCCCTTCAGACTTTTGAATGAGTTAAGTGATCTGATGATGCTTCCATGTGACATGGTGGCTGATTCACAAACCAGAAAAGAAGTGAGCTCCCGTGTGCACACCTCAACTTCCTGCTTCACATTTATTCTTAAACCTAACATCTTACACACACACACACACATAGAGAGAGAGGAATATTCCTGTCTGGAATTCGAGACAGGAACCGCCGTCCGGACGACAGCGTTTGGGCCTCTTCTCGGTGGATTTTATTGATGAAATTTTTTGGGCATGTTCTTCACCAAGCATCAAGTCTAATTTATCCACACAAAAATTCAGCTAAAAATTCAATCGAGAAGGCAGTCAAATAATTCTTATATATGTTTATTTTGGCGCAATTATATTCCAAAATTATTTGACTGCCTTCCCGATTGAATTTTTAGTTGATTCTTTTTGTGGATAAACTAGACGTGATGAAGAACATGTCTTTAAAACAAACAAAAAAATCAGCTAAAATTTCAATCGGGAAGTCACTCAAATGTGGAGTTGAAAACTACCGTGCGCTTTTTATATACTCCCTCCGTCCCCCAATTAAGTTCCCACTTTCCTTTTTAGGCAGTCCCTAAATTAAGTTCACACTTCAATACTTTCCTTATTTGGCAAATTATCTACATCAAAACAGTGTCCAAACAGTGTCAAACAGTGTTTAAACAATGCAAAACGGTGCACTCCACAGTAAAGTCAAATTTATTTTCTTAATGTGTGAAGTCAAACCAGGAACTTAATTGGGAGACGGAGGGAGTATATACATAAAGCGCCGTGTTTTTAAATAATTTATTTAATTGTCTTCCCAATTGAGTTTTAAGCTGAAATTTGGTTGTCATAAACTAGATTTGATGAAAAACATGCTCAAAACAATTTATCAGGAAGGGCCCTAAATAGCCTTGGCCGGACGGCGGGTATTGTCAGACCGGCCTGACATGATCGCTACTCTCTCTCTCTCTCTATATATATATATATATATATGGACAATGTTCAAGTAAGGTAGGCCTAAGAATGGTAATTCTAAGGCCTCTTTCATTTGAGGTACTTCCGGGTCGAATTTTTTGATGAAATTTTGTGAGCATGCTCTCCATAGATTGTAGATTATGTCCACCAAGTTTCACAATAAAATTCAATCGAGAAGTCAGTTAAGTAAATTTTTGAGAAAAAACTGCATTTTATATATAAAAACCTGCACAATTTTGAAAAAATTATTTAGCCGACTTTCCGATTGAATTTTATTCTGAAATTTGATGGGCATAGTCTACACTTCATGAAGAACATGCTCACAAAATTTCATCAAAAAAATCGACCCGGAAGCACCTCAAATGAAAGAGGCCTAAGAATTACAATTCTTAGGCCTACCTTACTTGAACATTTTCCTATATATATACACATACACACACATATACTATGTAACTAAATTCTCATGCAGTTATGTTTGTGTATTGGTGCTAAAATATGATCCTTTAATGTATGTTGACACTTGATAACCCTTTATTATTGGCTGTATAATGCACATGTATTAAATGTAAAAAAAAAAAACTAACTACATTCTCAATAGGTTTGCCCGAGATTCTCTCCCACTCTGATCAAGAGGGTTCTTATCAATTTTGCCCCTGATGAGTTCTACCAAAAGCCAGTTCCCGAAGAAGTTTTTGATGCCCTTGATAATGAGGTTGGCTCCTCCCTAAACTATTTTGTCAGCATTTTTAAGCTAATACTGAGGTATTACACATCGGATGTGTTCAGACCTATATTTTTATCTAATATATACATATGAAGTAAACCTCAACTAGATGATCCTCTTATGTTTAAATAAGCCCAATTAGATACTCTGATGATCCTCTTATGATCATCGGAGTATGATATAAGAGTCTGGTCCGATTGTGGTATGTTTATTCATATGGCACTCATTGATTTGGGTCTTTCATTTGGGCCCATTTAGCCCGTTTATCCGCCCCTCAAGTTGTTATTCCCGCAATCCCGCATTGGGCTGAGCGATCATGCTATAAGTGTCTCACACCAGATCTATATCTAACATACAAGTGCAAGATAAGTCTCACCCATTTGAGAATCCTCTTAAGCAGTTTCGGCCCAATGTAATAGTAGTTGATTTGTATTTTCTCTTTTCCTGGATGGTGCTGAAACAAGGAGTGCTTTTCTTATAGTGCTACACCAGTCATACTCATAGTTTAAAATCTCCTACTAACTTTTCAGTCTCCCTTTTTTCTTTATGATGAAAGGATCATGTGGATGAAAGTGGAGAGTGCCTCATTAGCTTTCCTTGTAGTGCTGCTCCCATTGTCTACTCATCTCCTCATGCAGCTTCAGTCACCACTGGGACCATGGGAGACGTCGGGTCTCTAACATTATCACACATCGGATTGTCAATTTTAAAAAGATCATACACTAGTGACGATGAGTTGGATGAGCTTGACTCACCCTTGTCTTGTATTATGGCTGATAGATCTCGGGATTCATCTTTAAAAAAGATTGACTGGAAAACCAATGGCAAGGGAAGCCGAAATATTGTTCGGTATCAACTACTCCGTCAAGTATGGAGAGACGAAGAACAATGAACACTGCTGTGGAAAATTTGTTGAGATATGTTCCCTTTGAACTACATTTTTGAGAGGGATCCCACAACGCACTTACTAACCCTTCCATTTAGCATTTTAGATGAAGTGTAGATGGTGCTGTTTATATTTAGATGAAATGTCTTGTAAGATATAATGTTTACCACGCTGATCGAATTGGTGCTATGTACAAAAGTTTTACGAAAAACACTTGCATTGCAAATTTATTATTTGGTCCGTGCTATTCTCATTGATTAAAAAAATCAATACAATATCATAGTCTTACAAACATAGTATTTGGTTCGTACTATTATAATTTTTATTATGTTACAAATCGATAGTTTTATTATGTTAATTATCAATCAAGGACCGAAGTTCATCATTTAAATGTTAGTGGCATAAATTTTTTATCAAAGACATAAAAAAATCATTGATTTTAACCTAGTGCTGGACTCGGGCCGGGCGGCCCGAACCGGAACCGGCCCGGCCCGGTTACTGTGTGAACCGGCCTGGCCCGGTGGCCCGGTCCACCGGCGGTTCGGGTCGAACCGGCCCGGTGGATACCGGTTCTGGGCCCGGGCCCTCTATTTGGTGAACCGGCCCGGCCGGTTCGGGCCGGAATAATTTTTTTTTTGAAATTTTTTTAATTTTTGGGTTGGATTAGGTATCTTGGGCCATTTGAGGTGGTTTGGGGTGGTTTGGGGTTGAGGGGGAGGGGTAGGGGGTTAAATAAGAGAAGCCAAAAAATCAAAAAAAATGGGGCGGGTGAACCGGCCCGGAACCGGCCCGGAACCGGTCACCTGCCGGTTCGGGCCCGGGCCCTCCTTTTGGTGAACCGAGGCCCGGCCGGTTAGAGGCCCGAACCGGGCCCGGCCCGAACCGAGTCCAGCACTATTTTAACCTTTCTTCATGAAAGATTGAAAGTTTAATAGTTTCTTACAAATTGAATTATATTAGATTAAGTAAGACTAAACAATAAACGATACTCCCTCTGTCCCGGAGTAACTTGGAGTGGCGTTGCCCCAGGTGCAACTCCCATATGAAATATTTATTTTATAATTTTGTTTATATATAAAATATATCTGTCGTATGAACTTTGTAATCCTTATTGCCAATAACATTGAAATATGTATTAATTTGATATAATAATATATAATACTTCGCATATAATAATAAAGACGTTGAGATCCATAATACATTAGAATAACTAAATGGCATAAAAATTTGAAAGACCGTGTTTCCAACTTCTGGAAAACCTCTGCAAAGACAACATTTTTGGTCTTGGGGGAAAATCTCCGATCTTTAGAGCGAATCAAAATTTTCAATCCTTCTTCGCTCTTAACTCTGGATATAGTCCGACTTGAAATAAAGACTTACTCGGGCTCTTGTTGATGCTCGTCACGAAGCATACCATAACTGGGAATTGCTTCCTCTGAAAATTAAATGGCAGTGTAACGTCAGATGGAGATAACGGCACTCTAGGAATGTGAACAGTGCCCCCATATTTCTTTTGTAGATGATCTTTTCTTCTAGCATACGTTCTCCAAGCTTAGTGATAATCAACCTGGTTCCATTACAATTCGTCATCAGGCAATCCCAAGATTGAGATTCTATTATGAAATTCTAGTGTGTACATGTCACTCTCGCGATACAAACTAATATATGAACTAACAATGCTATCTAAGCTGAGGTACGTGACTTGGTCACCAGGAATCAAAGATAGCATGTTGTCATTTATTTGGCAAACCAAGTCTAAAGTAGGTGCAAGTAATGCTCTTTCCTGCATGTGAGTAGGATCGTTGAGGCGTTCTTGCAGGTTAGGATAAGTACTATTAACTGTAGCTTTTAGATAGTTATCTTCTGCCTTGATAAGAAATTCATCTGGGATTTTCACTTGTCAAACTCATCTACTTGTGTTTTAATATCACCGCCCCCAACCTTTAAAATCTATGAACCGAACTTTTCAATGTCACTCTTTTCATCAGGAACAGTTGAAAGTAATCTCATATTCTTTGTGAGACGGTGAAGTGCACAATCACTCCAAAGATAAGAAGAGTTGATGGTTTCCATCACCACATCGGCTCTTCCTCTTTTTGGAATGACTGGTAAAAATATTAGGATACGATGTGTGGCTGCAAAACTCATGCACACTTTGACTTTATTCAATAGGATTCACGGTTTGAGCCTCTCAAAATGTAGGATAAGATGCTGGTGGAATATTATGTATCCTACCTTTTGTGTAGATTTGTTTTCAAATATTCCAATTTTATGGTCTTACATCCACACAACTTGAGAGGAAAATCCACATATGTCAAATTTCTTGCTTCATCATATTGTTTATTCGCTTCAAACTCACCTGTTAAAGCAGTTTGTTGATTTCCCCTTGTCTTAAGGATAGATTCTATGTGGTCACTTTCTCTGTACATAACAGTTTGCTCACCTGGCAAGTGACAACATAATCTTTCAACTGGTTGTGAGTGTCCTATAATGTATATCAAATGAGAGGATTCTCCACATTATCGCTTCACACATTGTATGTATCGACAATTGTAGTACATCTTAATCTCATCAATACAACTGTGATCATATAATCCCCTTTATCGATATACTTGAATAAGCATTTGGCTGAACGCGACTGGTTGCACCACTCAATGTTGAAATGGGAACGAAACTTCTATGACAGACTGGGATTGTAAGGCACTACAAATCTATGATCAATAGAATTGTTGTCTCTGCTTATTACCGTTATGACATGCATGGTGACTTTTTGTTGAAAACTCTGCAAGGACCATATATCATTAAACTTTTTACCGCGTCATGCAATTCTGCATCTTGGAGAGGATCAGGAAGTTTAGCTGATATTACCTTATCAATGTCATCAACGTCTCTCAACTTGTACTCAGAACGTAGAAACAGGACGATGTGGGCATGTGAGAGGCCTCATTTTTAAATTCAATAGTGCAAATAAATGTATAATCGATGAAGTAAATGAGTATGTAATTATATTAATAGCCATAAATAGATATGAACTAAACCCTAAAGGCGTAAAGATGTTATGTTATTTATCTTCCCAAAATAGGACTAAAGTATATCTTATCTTCATATTCTATCATAACCATAACTTAATAGGATAATCATATTTTATTTTGTGATAAAAACAATAAGGGAAAATGGAAATTAATAATTCAACTTTTTTAGCGGTCTTCTTACAATTGTCCCACATTTTCGTTATTCATGAATAATCCAACCTTTGTACCTCATCTTCATTCACTGGTCCCTGACCAGTTGATGACCTGTTACTCTAAGTTATTTTCTTATCTTTGCAAATCATTATACCATAAATCTCACCTTTAACAAAAATAATATTTTGCAAAGATAAGAAAATAACTTGGAATAACAGCAGGTCATCAACCGGTCAGGGACCAGCGAATGAAGATGACGTGCAAAGGTTAGATTATTCTTGAATAATGAAAATGTGGGACTATTGTAAGAAGACTGCTAAAAAGTTGGATTATTAGTTTCCATTTTCTTGGATAATAATGAAAAATATTAAACTTATACAAACAATCGGAAAAAACATAAAAACAATTCTGATTTTTTTTAAAAAAAATACTAATTAATAAAAGTTAAAAACAAATTCAAAAGAAAAAACTTTAAAATAAATAAAAAATAGATAAAGAAATCATTAAAAAGTATGAAATATGGAGGTCTTTCTTGTATCCTCTATCATTGCCCAGTAATGCCGATCAGCTAAAAAATATCATTTTTTATAAATTAACCGTTTTTATTTGAAAATACCATGGAGATGGCTTTTCTGCTTTTTGAAAATGTAAAAAAAATTGAAAACTACCATTAGACATCAAGATGACATTTCAAACACATGTTGGCATTTTTCCCAAGGTTTGAGCCGGTGGTGCTTGTAGATTGTTGAGGCGGCAGCATAGGCCATGATATTTTTTTTTAAATATTTTTTACGTTTTTTATTTTTTATTTCAAGTTTTAAGTCTTTATTTTATAGTATTTATTTTTCCAATTTTTTATCTTTTCAATTTTATTTAATACGGAGTACTTATTTCCGTTTTTTAATATTTTCAAATAATGTTATGTTATTAATTTTATGTTTTAACTATTAATAAAATATGAATTCTATTTAGGAAAATTTTAAGTTATGGTCCTATGTTGATAATTAAAGTTTCATTTAATTCCATTTGGGGAATTCTCCCATATTTATATAAAGTACTCTTAAATCAAGAAATAAATGGAGAGAACTTATGTGCTTGAGGTTCTCCGAATAATTTCCTATCTTTGAGTTCATCTATGATACAGTTGAGCTCGATCTTAACGATTCTGGAAAGAAGAGTTTTTCCCTAAAGTATTGGTAATTGGCTACATGTAGCACTACAATTTACAATTTGAAGACAGATATAGTCACTAAAAGTAACTCTCTCCGTCCTGCTAAGATGATTCATCTTTCATTTTCGGTTCGTCTCACTAAGATTATCTTATATCAAGTTTGGTAAAGATTGTGTGGTTCTAAATCATTGTTACTGTATTCTTAATTTATCAATTCATTATCAACCACGTAATTCTACTTTTCTTAATAATTCTACTTTTCTACTTTTCTAATGTTAATGAGTGGGATTTAGTACTCCGTATTAAATACTCCCTCCGTCCCATTTAAAGGTTCCCGTACACTATTCTCCGGTCAACGTGCATTGTTCTTAATCTTTTACTTTTTATATCGAAAGTTTATGAAATTTAAATTATTTTTTGCAGGTTTTGTAGCGGGTTTAATGTAGTTTCTGAATATGTAAATTTTATTTACTAAAAATAATTCTATTAATGACATAGATCAGTTAACTTTATGGTCAATCAAACATCGTAAATCGTGTGGGAACCTTAAAGTGGGACGGAGGGAGTAATATTTTTGTTAACCAATTTTGCAGGAGTAGTTTTAGTGAAGTTTTTTCATTAACCATATACGTAGTATTATATGGATACACTAAATCATGCCCTTTAGTCCAATTTTAATGAATCCTAATAAATTTGTTTTTTTATTAAAAAGGTGGGCCTATTTCATCTGATACGGAGTAAAGGTTATCTGATAGCTAGGGAGTTGCTATTCCAATGCTGAAATTATTTTTAGTTGCTCTTTGATGTTTATCTAACTAATACGAAGTTGTAAGCAAATCTATCTTGATTCAATTTTAATCGTCAACAATAATGGGCAAAATTAAAAAATGATCAATTCTTATAATTGTACTCAATTGCAATTTAGGTAGAA